TTGTTTCACCTCACACAAGAGGTGACAAGGACAGTGGCAGGGATACACTAGTGACAAACCTGAGAGAACTCAAGGACAAGTTAGATGTGAAGGACAGAGATGACCTGACATCAGAGGATACCTGATATTCATCCTTTTGTTAAGATCTGTGGTTGTAAAAAGTTACTAATGGAATTATGGAACCAGAAAGAAAAGCATGCTAATATTGCGTGTGTGTGTGTACGAATGAGTTGTTATTAGTACTTCAAGTTTCATGCAACTTGAGCTCTGGGGTGTGGAGAGTACAGAAGATAGACATAAGCCTCTGTAGGTCAGAGAAAAATGAAGCAGAAAGATAAATTATTAGCGTAGAGACCTTAGTTAAACCTCCAAAGAGAACTGAAGGACAAGAGAGGAGAGCCACATATGGAAACTGGGGATCATCAACATCAAAGAGAACAGGAGAAGGAAGCCTGCAGAACCTTACATAAAGCTGTCAGAAGTATCTGAGAATCAGAACAAGTAGCAAAATGAGCACAGCAACAGAGCGTAATGAATCAGAGCACTCCCATGCTCTGCTTAATAATAGTTCTGGCAATCGAAAAGGAAACCAATTGTTTTGTGAGTGAACTGTAGAATTCACTGTACCTTTCATTGAAATATTTTAAATCAGAAGCCTAGAGAATTAAAGCTCCAAAGAACCTTAAACTCTCACTTATTAAGTACTTAAACTATGTATCTAAATATGTTTGCAAAGACATGAAAAATCCTTAATTTCTTTTCAGGTTTAATTGCAAAGAATATTATCTGAAACCCTAATAATAGATTATTTCTAAACATTAAAGATTTTATTAGACATGTTTAAAACAATATATAAAATTTTTTTCTATACCAGAATTTATTCATCTTGTCACTATTGAGATTTGGGGGTTGAGTAATTCTTTGTTCTTGGAGGGTGTTTTCCTATACATTACACACTGCTTAGCAGCATCCCTGGCCTCTAACCATGGGATGCTAGCAGTACCTGCCTTCTGAGATGTCACACCAAAGATGTCTCCAGACTGCCAAATTTTCACATAGGGGCAACTGAAATAGTTCATTCCTTATAAGTCTAAACATGTATTCTAGTATCTTCAGTCTTAAAAAAGAATAAAATATGCCCTTGATCCTACATTGTCCTCTAGCTAAAACCTCAGTTCTTTCCCTTTACAGCTAAAATTCTAGAAAGAGGACAGGTGTGGTGGCATACACCTGTAAACCCAGGTATATTTGAGATGGAGGTAGGAGGATGATGGTCAGATCCACAACAGGCAAAAATGATACCCTACCTGAAAAATGAACTAAAAAAAAAAAAAAAGGCTGGAGTGTGGCTTAAGTAGTAGAACACCTAGCAAGTGAGAGACCATAGAGATCATGAGTTTAATCCCCAGTACCACCAAAAGGAAAAAAAAAAGAAAAGAAAAAAGAAAGAAAGAATAGAAAGAGCTGTATATATTCACTGGTTGTGTACTTCCAATGAACTGTTTAAGACATTGCTACCTGGTTTCTATTCCTTAACCTTATGGGAACTGCTCATGAAGACAATGGAGATTTCTTTCTTCATTTCAAATGACTTTTCAGTAGTATTTGTTCTAGTTGACATTGTCCCCTCTCTTCTCTGGCTTCTCAACACTACTTTCCTATTTAGCCCATTATAATCTGTCTGCTTCTGTATTGCACTCTATCTTCTTTATCATTAATTTTAGCATATGTCAGGGGCTGGTTAGGGATGTTTACATTTTATATTATCTCTACACTTGCTCATGTTTAAGCCCATTGCTTTAAATACCCATCTATAAGCTGATAAAGCCCCAATTCATTTCCCAACCTTAGACTTACTCCCTTGGAATCCAGACTTATTTATATAATCTCTTAACTGATAATGCCAGTTATGTAATCCATAGGCATTTCAAAATTACTATGTTGAAAAATGAGTTCTTAATATTTATCCCTCCATTCCACATGACCTTTATCTTTGTATTCTTCCCATGTCTGCAAATGGTATCATCCCATATGCACTTGTTCATTTCAGAAAAAAAAAAATCAACAACATGGAAGTTACTTTTGATTACTCCTTTCTTTTCATCTGCTGCTTTTAAATCACATCAGGTCTAGTGTTTCCTTTTGCATAATGTATTTGAGACAAATCTACTCTGTCTATCTCTTTGCCTCAGACCAAACCACCACAATCTCTCATGTGGGACACAGCAATTGCCTGGTCTTCCTCTTTATCTCCTAGCCAAAGTGATGTCTTAGATTACTCTTTTGCCTTCAAGAAAATAGCTACAGAATGCTTGTTGAAAAAAGTCCAAATCTTTTTCCACAGTCTGGGAAACTGTCTTCCTAACATCAACACCTTGCTACCTGTGATGTGTCAGAATGATATGCTTCTTATCTGTTACTGGAACACAAGACTATTTTCCTGTGGGTCTCTGCATAGGTTGTTCCACTGCCAGGAATACTCTTCTCTAGCTCTTCTCATTACTTGCCCTTCAAGGCTCACCTTGAAAGTCACCTTATTTGACCTTTCTAGACAGGTATTCCCTGGCCAGCTACCCTAAGGTGGCCTCCCTTGTTTATATAGACTTATCATGTTGTTATTATCTTCACAACACAAACTACAGTCAGTAGTTATCCTTTGCACTTGCTCACATGCTTATGTGTTTCCACATCTGTCTGGTTCACTGAGGACCCCTCTTTGCCTGACTCTTGCTGCACTGAACTGAACTTGGATTTCACTATTTACGAGCCCACCACTGAACAATGCTGAGCCTAGCACTGAATCAGGCTATAAATAGCAGAGAGTAGACGTTCAAAGTACATACCATGGCATTACCATGTAAAATAAAAATCACTCTGATTCACATGAAGGGTTTTAAATTTCACTGCAAAACACTGCAGTATGTGGCCATGGGAAAGTAAAGAGAAATGGGTATTACAAATCATTCCAATCTGATCCAGGTCATTTATATAACACCATGTATCTGAATCAGAAGTAAAATAAATCATACAACATTAATTTCAGTGAAGGCTTATATGTGTTAAGCATATTTTATATACATTCATTTTTGGATCATTATGTCTTAAACAAAGCTAGATTTCTATATTGGTCTATAAATTTTTTTAACTACTCTATAAACACTTTTGGGCCTTTGTAACTATTGTGTTTCAATGTCCAATCGATTATTCCAGTACTTATTTTATTTTTACTTTATTGTTGTGCTGGATGGGAGTACACTGTGGCATTTACAAAGGTTCTTACAGTGTATCAAATATATCACACTTGAAGTCACCCCTTCTACCACTCTCCTTCATCTCCCCCTCCCTCGATTCATGGAACAGTTTCAACAGGTATCATTTTTGCATTTACATGCAGGTGTGCACATTTTTTGCATGTATTCACTCTCCTACTTCCTTTCCTCACCCTTACCCCTCCCACTGGTGCCAACCCTCCCCGTTCTGCCCTCCTGTTCTCTGATTTTGCAGAAAAGAAAAGAGAAAAAGAAAAACATGACATTTTTGCTAGTTTGAGATAAAGATGGCTAGATGTTTATCTCGTAAGAGAACTTCTGAATGAAAGTTCTCTTCTAAATGTTAATATGTTACTGGGTATTATAGTTTGGACAGGAAATGTCCCCCAAAGGTTCATGTGTTGAAGGTCTGAGCCCCACCATTTGGTGCTATTGGTAGGTGGTGGGCCTTTAGGAGGAGGGGTGTAGTTGGAGGAATCAGGTCATTGAGGCACGCACTTGAAAGGTATATTGGGACCCACTTTTCCCTGCCTCTCTGCTTGGCCACCATGAGGTGAGCAGCTTAGTTTCACCTCATGAAGCTCTTTCTGCCAAGATGTTCTGCTTTGCCATAGGCCCAAAGTGATGGGGCATACTGACCATGGATTGTCTTAAGTTGTTTATCTCAGCTATTCTGTCATACAATGGAAAGCTGACTCACACACTGGGCTTATTTGACATCTACTTAAACATAAATAAAAGGCATGATGACAGGTAAACTTACTCTTTCATTCCCCCAAACCTGCAACTCCTTTCTTTCAGAGTAAGCTCTGCTTTTCATTAATTGAGACATAACTTCAAGAAGCTTTCAGAGAGCATTTACCATGAGTATCACTTTGCTGTTATCATTCTTTTCAATTGCAAAATTTGTTTATTCTTTTCATTCAACCTCCTTCATCAGCCTCTTTTCTTTCAAGTGTGACTTTTTTTTTGAGGTACTAGGGTTTGAACAAAGGGTGTTGTACTTGCTAGGCAAGTGCGCTTACCATTTGAGCAATGTCCCCACCCTTTTTTGCATTAGTTACTTTTTTAGGTAGTGTTTCATTGGGATCCTCCTACCTATGGCCTCCTGTACCACCATGGGTGTTTTATTGATTGAAATGGAGTTTTGCTAACTTTTTGCCCAGGCTGGCCTTGAATCTCAATTCTAAGTAGCTGGGATTATAGCCAATAGTCACCGTACTTGATTTGTGTGTGACAATTTTAACTAGCCTTCTTTGTAGGCCTTGCTTATTCCCCAGAGAGAAATTGTTTTTGTTGTTGTGATTATTGTTATGATTCTTAGTGATTTTGTAGGGATTTTTGTTCCAGAAATTACCCATTCTGACATATTACAATGAACTCATTCCCTTAAATATTTACTGAGGCATTTACCTCGGCCCTGAAGATTAAGGTAAAGTTGATACCCTTCATTTTTAACAGCAGGAGAGATTGACTTTTTTTTAATTGTTGTTCTGGGGGTATATTGTGACATTCACAAAAGTTCATAGTTGAATTCACCCCCTCCATTGTTCTCCTTTATCAGGAGAGAATGACATGAAAAGAAATAATTATGACATAAAGTGGTAGGTCCACTATCTTCTTTTTCTTCTATGAGGGGAAAGAGACATGGTGTTTCATTGAACAGTGTTTTGCACTTGGTTGTTAGTCAGTAGATACAGAAAAAGAAGAAAGAAACAAAACATGACTTACCAAGTGTGCAGAAAGGCCTCTGGCTTGGAAAATGTGAGAAGAAGCCAGGTTTCAATGCATTTGTAATCACAATGTCAAAAAGGTCGGCAAAATCATCCCTGCAAAGCAACAAAATTCTTCATAAATTTATTTTAAGGAATTAGGGAAGGTCCATAGAAAACAGAATGCAATCTTTATTTTACCACAGAATTATTACCTCTTGGTCACCTTATACATGCTTTTATGTTTTTCTTATTCATTTTAAGGAGTGTTACACTGGAAATAAGAGGTGTTGATCACTAGTTTTTCTGATAATTGATTAAAATGCAAAAACAATTAAAAAAAGAAATAAGACAGAGAAAAAAAAACAAATAAAAAGCAAGCAAGCAAACAGTAGTCAGTAAAATAGGCTTCCTCCTGATGGTAGCATAGTGGTGAATTCAATTGCTTCCAACAGCTAGAAATATTCAGGAGTTATGTTTTCAAATCTGGGGACTAAAATTTGTCTGGATTCATTAGGCTGAAGTTATTAATATTTTTGTACTACATGGGTCCTACAGAAATTAGCATTGTAATAAGTCTGGTGGCATTTCTCACAGAGTAGTCAAAACATGAAGATACCTTTAAAATCAGTGTAGCCTTATAATGTAGTACTTTTTACATGACAATTCATGATTACTAATATGAACTTAGTCTTATATTAAGGATTATTTGGGATAGCAAAGAAAAGGTTCTCCCTAATGGACTCATTATCACACTTTTGCTCAAGATATTTCTATATTTACTCAAGATTCCAGAATATTTTTACAAATTAAAACTGCAATAAATAGAAATTGAGTTGGGAAGAAAGACTTTGGTTATCAATGCTAATGAAATAATTAAAACTCCTGAGGTTTGTTTTCAAGGAATTCAGGACTTTGGCTTTAATCCACTTCAAGGATCTCAAGCCCATGTATTTTTCAGAAAGCAAAACATCCACTCACAGAGTATACTACAGAATAAGCTAAATCAATATGTATGCTAAGGAATGGAAATCCTGAGGCTAAAAATGTTGGAGGAGGGGAGCATGAAGGTTAAAATTTGCTCCACATTTATTGCAATTCTGTGTTTGCTGAAATTTGAGGATGTGTTAGGGGAAACCTAACAACCCACTGGAGAACATACAGGCATTTATATATTATTTATGTTTAAGTGTTATTATAAATAAGTAAATATTTATGTATAAGAGTTAATGGTTATTGAAATTTACCAACTATTCTGCCTAATAAGTAACTGTATTATGCTGTTGAAACACACCCTTATCTATGCCTTATCATTGCCTCATTTTTAAGATGATGAAATTAAGGGTTAAAGAAGTTATAAACTGTGTCCCAGGTCACATAGTAAGTTGTAGAGCACAACTTGAAATCAGGTCTCTCTTATTTTAAAATATATTTCATTTACACTATCTTGATTCTAATGATGTCAACTGTATCCTTAGCTGTGCCAAGTGGCAAAGTAGATGGGTTCTCACTGAGATAGATAAAAGGAGCTGTAATCTGGGAATCTGTGAAGGAGTGTATTCTACAACTCAGTGTCCTTCAGTAATCATCCAGTGTTGAGAAATAAAATTCATGTGAGGCCTTCCAGAAAACCTAAAGCCAGACCATCTCTGAGCCAGAGCACACTGGCCCCCAGTAACACTGCTCTACTAAAATGCACTTGGGTTGGGTTGCTATCAACAGATATTGAGATAGGTTATGAGAACACAAAACCTCAAACCCTTGTCTTCTAGCACTGTTCAATAAAATGATAATGGCGATTGCCAAGGACTTTTAAAAAGGCACTGATCTAATTTGTTATCAGTATTTTACAATACATCAAAATGGAATGGCTCAATACGTACCCAAGTATATATTTGCAGAGAAGTTTACAGTAATCACTATGAGAACTGGTAATTAACAAAAGAATTTTCCCAGCATTCTTTAGCTGTCGAAGCCACTTTCTTACAGATTCAGGACAACTGTGCAAATATTTGCCTGGATCTCTTTTTATTTCTGGAAAATACAGTCCACAGTTTTCTGAAAAATAAAAACATGAAGGATATTTCTAAAATTTTTTTGACTCAGTATATTCTCAAACAACTTCATCTCTTTCAAAGCTACATTACAATTAGAAGAATAAAGACTAAGTTCAAACAATCTAGCAATGATGACAATGCTAACTTCTTTTTAGAAGTAATTTTTGTCCTTATTTAAAAATCATGATGGTTGATAATATCAATTGATAATATTGGTTGCCTGTTTGACATGAACTAATAAACAATTAAAACAGAGAATATAATAAGCACATTGCCAGATATAGAGGTTCATGTCTATAATCCCAGTATTCAAGAGGTAGAGATTGGGAGGGTTGTAGTTTGAGGCTAGCCTGGGCAAAAAGTTAGCAAGACCCCATCTCAACCAATAAACCAGGCAGTGGTGGGCACCTGTGATTCAAGCTACAAGGGAGACCACAGTTCTGAGGATTGTGGTCTGAAGGAGGCCCCTGGAAAAGAAAACACAAGACCCTATCTGAAAAATATCTAAAGAAAATAAGGACTGGGGGTGTACCTTTCAAGTGGTAGAGTTCCTGCCTAGTAAGCACAATACCCTAAGTTAAAATCCCAGTACTGCCAATATATATCATCAACATTTCAAATCAGAGAATTACTGTATTTGAGATAATAGTTGCTTGATAAATATTCTTTCAATCATTCAACAAATACTTGTTGGATAGAGATAAGAACCAAATATTAAGACAATACACAGGAACATATCTCTGGCATGGAGCAGCTATATAGAGAGTTGGGTTCCTCAGAGGCACAGCAGTGTCATTTGAGATGGAACACATAGCATGACAACCAGTCTATGGCTTGTGAGAGGTGCAGAGATGTCCAATGGAAAAACTGGGGCAAAACAAGCCAAAGAAGGGTAGAAGGCACCATAGCAGTGAATGTTGAAAGTCTAGAGTCACTGAATTGGGACTCCTGGCTCTGTCCCTCTGGGTGCCCCACAAGTCTATGGGTAGGCTATGCTGAGGCAGACAGACAATGGCAATATTGCCAGACTCATCCATGCTGCTTGACCCAGTATTTGAAAGTTGTGCATTAGTAACAGATAACTGCACATGTGGCTGAAATGCTACTAGATTCACTGAGCATTTTAATAATGTTTTTTGAACATAACAACTGATTAGCAGAGAAAGAGAATCCAAGCACTTTCTTTAACTGATAGGAAAATGACACATGCATAGATACAACAGGTTAGAGAGTTTGTATGAGTGACACATCCTGCAGTAGCTGAGTGAGTACAAGCTACAATTGCAACTCTGTCCAGTGCATTTCTGCACATAAAATAACAGAAATGAAGATTATAATTCAAGAGTGTCAGGACAGCAGGACAGAGGAGGATCCAACTGAAACAAACAGAAACAAACAAACAAACCTAGAAATGGTAGCACATACTGTTCCTATCTGCCCTCTTCATTTGTTTGGGGTTTCATCTGTCTCTCAGGGAGGATATGGGTCTCTCAGTCCACTCCTATAATAGTAATTCCTTCCACCTGAAAAGTGCTTTGTTTAAGCAGCATTAAGAATGCACGTCTGGCCAATGAGAACTGAGAAAAACCCTCCCAGGGAGTCAAAATAGGGGGAACTTCCCTCTCTCTACCTAGAACTCCTACAGCATTTATCTTTAACACAGAGCACAAGTCTGACATACCAGGGATAGAGGAGTAGAATTATGAAAGGCTTGGGTCCCTGATCTCTGATTAAAGCCACAGAACTAATACCATTAGAAGTACTTTGGATAACTTCTGGTCATCTGAAAGAACTCAAGCTAACAATAGCTAAAATATTAAGGACCTATTATGTGTAGTCTAGAGTATCTTGATTCAGAAAAGAATTTACTTCAAGAATATCATAAGCAGGCCAAAAAATAACAAAAGAAAGAATATGCTACAACATGAGAATAATATTCAGATATCAGGAGAAAAGAACAAAAATTAAGTTTGTGCTCTCTTTATATTTGTCCTCTTAGGGCATTTGTGTAATTCTCTATCTCTTAATATTACAGAAGCTATGCTTACAAAAATTAAGATACATGTTTTGTTTTACATGGAAGAGAAGGTTCTAGTAAAAAAAGGCAAACTCAAGAAAAATATAGTAAAATGAAATGGCTAAGAATAGAACAGTTTGATAAGTAGTTAACTATCAAAGTATGTCTTATATCTAAGATACTGTGAAATTGTTTCAAACAGAAAAACAGCTTTTGTAGCAAAAGAAATTTTATAGGTTGAATAGAAAAAGATTAATAATGTGTAGTGCTGAAAACATTTATAGACTTCTGCATTCAAAAACTGTTTTTTTTCTTAGCCATGTGTCCTTAGTGCCATCTAGTGATCAAAATATAAAATGCTATTTGCAAAGCCACTTTCAGCATTCCCAAAGGAATAATAATAATAAAAAAGCATATAACACATTTAAATACCATAATTTAAATTTCCTACCTGGGTTAATTTTATCAGTATCTCTAACAAGCCTAATTCAAAAGAGGGAAAAGATAATAATTTAGTCAGAGAAAGCTACTCTGAAGTTGTATTGGGGTTGTTCTTGTTTTTTTTTTCCCACAAGTTATTGGACAAACTAAGAGGACAAGCCCTGTACAAACAGACCCCAAGGCTGGATTACGAGTTGCCAAAAGATCATGGGTTGTCATGGGGGAGAAAGTACTTTTGGTCTCCTTGTAACCTCAAGCCATTTAAGGAATAAGGGATATAATATATAATTACACACTAATTTTTTATTAAAATAAATCAAACTGTTAAACCAAAGGAAGAGTTATGCTAAATATAGTACACTGAACTAAGTTTTCCATTAAGTAATTCCCCTAAGAGAGTATAAACTCTCAAAGAAATGAATACATCTTTGTGGTTGGCATGGAGTAGACATTTAATGCATGAATCTTAAAATTATTGCAGGAGCAGAGACAGGAATGTTTATTTATATTCAAAGTAATAATGATTTGCAATAATCAACCAAACTGTGAGTGACAAAAATTGTGCATTCATGTACTACCAAAGTCATTGCATCTAAGTGTCCTTCCCCATCAAAAAATAATAATGTTTAATTATTATATTAACAGATTAACATTGCTTGACAAGTCAGAGGATTCATACCTAAGGTAGAAAGGAATGGTCTTGTTTGTTCTTAACTCACAAAGTAGCCTGTGTTTTCACTTACTCTCTAAAGGAATTGTATTTCACTTCCACTTTGTGTAACTCATTTTCCTAGCCTTTCCACCACCCCTCTTATGGCCTTAGATGTTGGTATTTTCTGCATCCCAATAGAATTAAAGGTAACATTTTCAAAAAGTTGAATCGAAAGAATAAAATTTTAGCTCCCTTGTGTTAAAAATTTGGTTAATATAAAGTCATGGAAATAATAGCATAGCATTGTAACAGTCTGATGGCCTACATATTTATCAGACAGGATTTAGGGACCTCTTGTGGTAAAAAAAAATAGTACAATTCGAATATTAAAAATACTTTATTAGTTTAATAGACAATTGTGCTACATCACTATTTCTACCACCACTGAATAAGGACTTTTCTAACTATCACTACTTTTTCTGTGATTTGGGGTGAATTGTTTTCAAAGCTGCTGTCAAAGGGATGGGAGATGCTAACATCTCCACAGTCAGCCTCCAGTGAAGGTCTATTGCTGATTCTTTGCAGAACATAGTTTAAGGAGACTGAAATATTTACAGTCTTTACCAGTTATATAAGAGCATGCTATTAAACAGCTAAAATATTTAGCTATGAATTATTTAAATGCACTTGCTGTAGAGGTGATCTAATTAATATTCTGAAAACAATGTTTGGCTAAGAGAGATTGAAATGGTTTTTAGAGGGTGAAAAAGAAATTTATTTTTCTTATTTTTAGGTTAAAACAGATTTCCTGTTTATGGTATATATCAATGTAATATTTTATTTATAAATAAGTCTAGATGAAAATAAAAATCTATAAGGTAAATATAATGTCTGGAAAAGACTAAAGAATTGGGAAATAAAGTACATAATATATTGAAAAGCATAACTTATAACATTTTCATTTAACAATATCTGACTTCTATCTCTGTACTTTAATTTATACTTATGCTCCACCCCAAAGATCCTGATTTAATTGGTCTGGTGGGGGCACAAAACTGGTATTTTTTAAAGCTCTCCAAGTACTTCTAAGTTTATGTGACATATGCTAAAAATTATTGCTATAGGGTTGGAGACATGGCTCAAGTGGTAGAGCAATTCCTAGCAAGTGTGAGGACCTGGGAGGATTCAATCCCCCCAGTGAGAGAGAGAGAGAGAGAGAGAGAGAGAGAGAGAGAGAGAGAGAGAGAGAGAGAGAAAGAGAGTGTTATTGATCTAAAATATAAGAACTTCTATTATCTGTGTATCTTGCATGCATCACTGGAAATCACAGAGGGTAAGGACTTCTTAATTTTATATTATAGTTACATAGGATATAGCCTTGTATATAATAAAGGAAATAGACAAATTGAATTGCTACTGATTATCTTACATGTCACTATGGATTCTAAGGATCTCTTTATGTCTCCATGGTGATGTTCAGCCAGATAACTCTCCAATCATAGTGAAAACCTGTTTCCAGTGTTTCTCCTTCTCTAATGTGGGTCTGAGCTGTATGTACCTGGTATTTCAGAAGCAAGAGTGCTTACTCAAACTTAAAGAGTGAATTAGAATCACCTGGAGGGTTGTTACAACACTCCCAGAATTTCTGATTCAATAGGTCTGGGGAGTGGGCCTGAAGATGTGAATTTTTAACAATTCTCTGGTCAGCTGACAGCCCAAGGACCACACTTTGAGAATTACTACAGTAGAATACACTTATAAAACTAGATAGCTTTTGAAAGTCTCCTAGTAGAATGTGACTGAAGTACAGAACCAAATTAGTCAGAATTAACACTATCTGATGAGACATCTCAAACCTTTGTCTCATGTTAAAATGGATCTAAACGGAAAA